TAGTAACAGTAGTGTGCAAAAATACTCATTCATACTATTGCTACAATTCTCTGATCTGTTCTGGTAGTAGCGGCTCTGGCCTCACTCTCTGGTCTCTCTCTCTGTCTCTCTCCTGTCTCTCCAGCCTCGCACTCTGGTCTCGCTCTATTTAAGCTAAAAATCTTCTTCCATTTTTTACAACATTGAGTCCAATCTGCTAAACATAAGCAAATAAGTTCTGAGCGAGACCAGAGAAAGAGAAAAAGACCAAAGAGAGACCAGAGATTTCAAGCATATTAAACTTCTCCCTAATACTTTTTGGAATCCCTGCTTCCATATTGGTCGAAACGTCACTATAAATGCTTTTTCCTGGTCGCTCTCAGAGACTTGGCCTGTAGTAAGTTAGAACAGCAGGAGCAGCAGTGATGTGTTTCCTCTGGTCTCTTGGGATAGTTTCTCTCCTGCTGCTGCGAATGCTGATATACCTACGTCATACAAGAGTAAAGGCTGTAGTGTTTACTATAAGTTAAAAGTACTACTGAATATGTAGTAAAAGTGCTGTGGCAAGTGGAATACTGTATATGTAGTAGTGGTAGTAGCAGCAAAGGTACCATAAAGATAATTATCAACAGTTCTAAACTAGTATTTCAAGATGCAAATTAGGCAGTTGAAACAGTAGAAGTGGTAGCAGTAGTAGTAGCAGTAACAGTAGCAGTAGTAGTAGTAGTAGTAGCAGCATCTTTCTGGACAAACAAAAGTAGTATCAGCAATGCAGGGTTATTGTCAAATTAGTGTTACTGATTGCAGTAGAAGCAGCAATAGTAGAAGCAGCAGCAGCAGTAACAGCAGTAGCACTAAGCTAACAGATTGAAGCAGACATTAAATTGACTAAATGAATATGCAGATGAAGTGGGGTTAAACCGGAACAAGATTAAGAAATGCAAATGAGCCACATGAATATGCTGATGAGGAGGTGATTAACATAAGTGCTGTTGAACTGTGCGCCAACCAGTTAAACTGTTGGATTTAAGACATGGGAGGAAGTCATGTCCAAGTATGGGCAATGCCTGCATGTATACTGAGACAAGAGAGAGAGAGGAAGGGGGAGAGAGAGAAAGAGAGAGAGAGAGGCCTGAGAGAGACCAGAGATAGAGACTTGAGGGAGTAACCAGAGAGAGAGAAGAGAGTGAGACCAGAAAAAGAGACCAGAGAAAGACCAGAGAGAGACAAGAGAATGGGAGCAGAGAGACCGGAGAGACACCAGAGAGAGAAACCAGAGAGGGAGAGACAACATAAGATCCAATGAAAACCTACATTAATTTGCAAAAAATATCGTTTTTTTCCTTTACATTCCCTGCATTTGTTCCTCTTTGAAGTTTTAATCCTTCATTCCATGTATTTATTGCCTCAAATAAAAACAAATGTAATAAAAACATATCAAAGGCTGTGTGTGTGCCGGAGGGTGATTACCACTGATAATAATGAGGATAAAATGTTATTGGAAAAATGTGAATTCTGATAAGTAACATTCAATACAAACTATTACCAGTCTCATGCCAGGAACTGGAGGAAGGCTTTCCTTTGTACTGCAACAGAAGCAGCAGCAGTAGTAGTCGTAGTAGCAGTAGTAGTAGTAGCAGTAGTAGTAGTATAGACTCTTTATAAGACAATAAAGTAAAATCCATGATGGTAGTGGGTGAGTATATAGATGCCAAAACAGTGTCTTTAACGGCTCCATGCAGCCACAACAAACTGCTTTTATGATTGTACAGTGAACCAAGGACACAAACTAGTCTAGCAGCTCTCCAAGGACTAAAGCAGAGAATACAGATTACACATAATTACAGTTTAAGTTTTTTCAAATGATCAATTACTACTACTTCTACTACACAGCCAATCAGCTCTTAGCCCAAGGCGTGAAATAGTGACTCACAGGGATCTTCCATACACAAAGATTAAGACAGAATGTTGTGGTCAAGGAAAAACAACACGCAATAATCATGAAACAGAAAAGTGAAGAACCCCAGCTTTAATCTACTTTCTAAAACCTGTGCTGCGTGGTCAGAGTGGAGTTCATAGCTCCGCCCACTTATGCTGCCCAGACAAATGTGACACAGATGTTCTCGTCACCCCTCCCCTGTTTGCATGTTCTCCCTCTTCTCTTCAGCCAGAGACACAGAGACGGATGCCAGAGTGTAGCGTGTGTGGAGAGACACACACAGACATACACACTTTACTATTGTCAACATAGAATACATACAATAGCTGTCTCCATGCTCTTTTCTGCATGACTAAAGTGCTAAAAAGCTCTTTAATACCTGTCTGTTATGGTATAAGGCAAGGCAAGTTTGTTTGTATGGCACAGTTCATAGACAGGGCAACTCAAAGTGATAAACAAAACAAGAAAAGAAAGAATAAAATCACTCAAGGAATTTAAATATATAGATAAACCCAAAAACTGCTGCTTCTACTATACAACTGCTACTTTTGCTGCTGCTGCTGCAACTACTACTGTTACTGCTGCTACGACTACCACTACTTTCACTACGACTGCTGCAACCAATTTCTAGCTGTAAGAGACAGGCTATAAAACCAAACTGTTTCTAGCTTGTGAAAAGCCGACACAGGTGCAAACAACATGCCTACCTTTCCCACCGCCGACACAAACGTCTACTTAACTCCTTAATACAAAGTCTGTCAATAACGGTGCTTAAAAGATCAAAAAATAAATAATAAATACAATTCCAAGCTAAAATTGTATATATTTCTTCATGAGACTAAAACGCAGAGTGTGTGGATTCCAGTAAGAAATAAACAAAAGAGAAACATAATCCAAAACTCTTCCATTTGCAACAATAGGAAAAAGAATCACATTTTCCAATATTTAGACCTTGTTCTTTTGTACGTGAAAGCAGCACCTGGCAACAAGCAACGAAAAAGAACAAATTGTAAAACACACAAATGGAGACAATAATAACAACAATGACAACAATAATAATAATGCTCGAAATAATAATAATAATGCTCAAAAATAAAGTCTCTTTCTGATTCCCTCTGGTCTCTGTCTCTCTCAGGTCTCTTGTCTTTCTCTAGTCTCTCTCTGGTCTCACTTTCAGGTCTCTCTCTAGTCTCTCGCTATCTTTTTCTGGTCTCTCTCTGTAGTGTCTCTCGCTGGTTTCTCTAGTCTCTCTCGCTGGTCTCTCTCTCTCTCTTGTGTCTCTTTGGTCTCTCTCTCTGGTATCTCTCTCTCTTGTGTCTCCCTGGTCTCGCTCTAGTCTCTTTCTCAACACACACAATCCACTTTTAAAGTGCTGGAGTGTTTTGGAAGCAAACAGATCCAAGTGTTTATGGGAAACTCATGACGAGAGGCGATCGGTGGTCCCTGCTTACTCAGCCTTCAGGCACGCACCCTCGCCTGTATGAAGATTTCACTGTGTGTGGAAGGGCCATAAATCAGGGCAACTCAAAGCATACAATTGTGTACATACAAAGCCATAGTCGTCTCCGGCAAAATAAGAGTCCTGGATCTACAGCCTGTCCGTCCGTGGGAGAGGATCACGTTCTTAATGTGGGCCTCCCTAAGGTTTCTCACATTACTGACCAAAACAATTGTCATTTAGTGTAGTAGTTCTACATGGGTTTTGCCAAGTTTTACTGCACTCTTCTAGTCAATGTGTTAATTTTCCCCCTATAACATGTCATCAGTTGCCATGAATTTTCTTATTAACCTTCTTTTTTTTTTAAATAGAAAGATAAAAGAGTAAATGCAATACAATACATGCATACACACTATATATAAATACACACAACAAGTCCTGTATCCGCGCCTTGTATTTGCGCCTTCTCCTCGCACGGTCTTTCCCATGTCGCCCAAACCCCTCGCGGCTGCTGTCCCTCCCCACACGCGCACGAAGGGAGGGTTGTCGTAAAAGCCACGCGGAATCCTCCACTGTTGCCTCACGTGTGTAATAATAGCTGTATTTTGGATCGTATACGCGCGCAATGGTTTGAGTATTGCTTTTACGCACGGCTCAGTTTATGGGAAATGGCATACATCACAGCTCACCATTGATTGTCGATGCTTCTCAAGGTTTAAACGTTTCACTAGTGGCGAATGAGCAGTGTATGTAATTAAATATGACTGGGAATAACAATTACACGCGATATGTGTGACAGAAAAAGCCACTTCTTTGGGTCAATGGACTGACGGCGCGCGTAATAGTATTCTGGTAAAACAGCGTGATTCCAGGGCATATGGTACAAGCTGGAGCGGTGTTAGGAACGAGAATAAAAATAAGTCATAGTGTTAAGAAAGCATACTTTGATAATAGTGAAAAAAGTCTAAATTAAGTACAAATGATTGGATCAAAGATAGAACTTGTAAGCGAAATCATTCAAATACGCGTTTGCAGAATCAGTGCTGGATCTACAGCCTCAGTCCTGGATCTACAGACTTTCCGTCCGTGGGAGTGGATCCTCTATCAATATGAGGTTTCTCAGATCTTCCCACCGGGTTTTTGAGTGGTTCCTTCCCGATGCAGGGGGGTCTGAAGACTGATGATCCAGGACATTTATTAACATTTCTGGACAGTCGTCATCCCTCTCCCTATGGACCAATTTCTCCTATGTTTTTGTTGTTATTCCATTGATATATGTCCCTGATCTGTTTTTGGCGACAACTTTGTAAACCCGACTGCAGTTGTGATGTAGGGCAATTCTCAAATACAGCTAATTGAAAACAGTTATGTGTCCACTTGTGTGCAGGCCATGGCACAATTCTAATGTCTAAATCTTGTCACTTCTGTCCGTAGTGTTCTGGTTGAGTTGACTAACGCGCGCTCTGGCTCCATACGGCCGCGTAAACAGAATGAATGAGACGTGAACGACTTGACAGAGACGCTTAGCTGCGCGTAATTTGGACATGTCTATTACCACGTACTGGTTTGTGCCGAAGTATTGTTCTGTGAACCAGCGTGGAACGAAAGTCAAATATAAAAGTATGGGCATCATGTTTGACTCACCATCTTCGGCACCGGTTCTGCAGACAAGATGCAACAGCAGAAATCCCAGGAAAGATGAAACTAAATCCATGTTTGGGAAGAATGGAGGGATTGTAAACAGTTCCCACGTGTTTTATGCACAGAAATCCCCCATGCACACAGTATGAAGACAATCGAATGATAAAAAACAACAGCACTCCTTATGTGAGGCCAGAATTCACTCGCTGTTTAAATGATATTCCAATTGTGTTTGGCGAATCAAAGTGAAGACATTGGAGCGACAGGAGAAGCTTTGCTCATGTTGAAATAAGCAACCCCAAAGTGATATGTGTAAGGAGTTCCAGAGGAGTTTAAGCCAGAATCCGTTATGTCCAGTCCGTTTTACGCACGCGGAATCCAAAGCCAAAATGTGCATCAAAAGTCATGGAGAGGCGGCTATTATGAGAAGGGGAGAAGCGAGGGTAATAGGGTCCACTGCTGCGCGGTCATGTCAGGGCTCTTCTCCCGTGGATCCTGGAGTGTGGAGCGGGAGAGGAGTGTGTGTGGAACCGGGAGAGAGGCAAGAGGGTTTTAGGGGGAGAGGAGCGATCGCGTTACAGCATTGGCTCTCACACTCCGCCCCCAAAGAGAGAGAGAGAGAGAGCTGAGGAGGTAGACTCAGGGGGGGAGAGGGGGTGTAGGCGCACATCCAGGCTGATCCACAGCTGATGCAGGAAGCAGATCAGGCCGCCTGTCACGGTGCGAAGGCCGGGCGAAGATATCTACAAGTGCCAGACCTCTTATAGGAAAGGCAAGTTTATGTGTATAGCACTGTTCATACATAATACGGCATCGGTTTTATAACGGTTTATTGGACGCTCAAAGATGCTTCACATGGCATTAGTCTTTCACTCCACACACAAAGGTAAAGGTGGACTTTATTAATCCCTGTAGGGCAATTGATCCTCTGCATTTGACCCATCCTGATGCCACTAAGTAAGAGCGGGGTCTAAGGCTTACGAGCAGTGGTCGCAGTAGTACACCGCCCGGGAACCCATCTCCATGATGTTGGTGCTCGGGTTGGGCAGGACTACCAGTGTAGGAGGATTTACTTTATGTGTATGTTTATAGTGACAGGGGAATCCGGAGCACCCGGAGGAAATCTACGCAGACACAGGGAGAACATGCAAACTCCACTCAGAAACACCCTGTTCTGACTGGGATTCGAACCCAGGACCATCTTGCTGAGAAGCGAGAGTGCTGTCCACTCAGCCCACGTGCTGATATTCCAAATTATACCACCATACCCGCAGCTGCCCTGCGGCAGATTGACAGGAGCGAAGCAATCAGTATCACCAATATTCACACACACACTACTCATTCTAGACAATGTAGATGTGTCTTGCCAAAGGATACAATAACAGCTTACAGAATCAGTCCAGTGGTCTCCCATCACAGCATTAACAAGGCCCTGCCCTGTTTAGCTTGAGAGGTCTGACAGGATCTGACTCTCATGTGAAATTATAGCCACATGAGGCAACTCAACGTGCCTTAAAGAAGGAGGAAATATTGAAGTAAATAGAAAAAACATGGATTGGAACATTGTCATGAGAAGCCTGTCTCACAATTTCAGGAAGACTTTTCCAGATTTTAGCTGCATAAATCTGAAATGTTGCCACCTGATGTTTAGTCTTGACTGTGCACCAGCAGGAGGCCAGTCCCTGTGCTCCTCAGAGTCTGAGTTGGTTCATATGACACTAACTTGTCACAGATGTACTTTGGTGCAAAGCCATGGAGAGACTTGTAACAAGCAGAGCTTTAAACTTTATTCTCTGAGATTGTATTTCAGGGCCAGGTAGGGTTGGTGGAAACAGCGCTAAAGTTTGACTGGATGCTCCTAAAGTCCTGAATGGATTCAGTTGCTGAGTTGGATCACTGCGACTAATGCGTTTGTCCTCCGGATCCAGGGGCCAAACGACTGACCACAACAGAGTTTGAAATGGCCTGAGGCAAAGCTCTGAACAATGAACAGTTAAAGGAGGAGTCAGCTCCAATTTTTATTACAGGGAGGCTTTGTTAGAGATTAGAAAAGAGATACAGAACAATAGACTAAAGTGGAAAAGAGAAAGTAAGAGAAGGGAGGATATTCTTAAGTGGTCTACCTATTTCCTCTCTTTCTGGTATCTTTCACTATGGCCTCTCTTTCTGGTCTTTCTCTCTCTGCACTCTATGTCTAGTCTCTCTCTTTGGTCTCTCTCTGGTTTCTTTCTGGTCTCTCTTTTTGGTCTCGCTCTCTCTGATTTCTCTCTGGTCTCTCTGTCTAGCCTCTTTCTCTGGTCTCTCCCTCTGTTCTCTTTCTCTCTGGTCTCTCCCTCTGGTCTTTCTCTTTCTGTTTTAACTGAACTTTCCACTTTCACATGCTTTAATTCTCCCACTTGTTACTATGAAACAACCACAACTTCCACCTCAATCAAAGAGAAAGCAGCCACTCCGCCCATCCCAGCGGCAAGCTCCGATCCTGGGCATAAGTACAGAGCACACCAGCCTCTAATGACACGGTGTGGAGCTAAAAATGGCCTCGCAGATCTAATACAGTCTGTGAGGCGGCCATATTTATTTGGGACAATGCACAACGCACATGGGAAGCTATAGACAACCTGCTCCCTGCACCTGCGTCTGTGGAGCGGGAATAATGAGGAAAGCAGCTGGACGAGGCCGGAAAAATGCACACAGGGAAGTTTGGACATACAGGCGGAGGCTCCATGTATGGCTTTAAAGAAGCAGCTGAGATTAGAGCTAATGTACAGATGTATACATACAACTATTTAATTCTTGCACTAGAATATACATTATTTTATACTTGCTTCTTCATTATGCAAAAGTTAGAGATATTCTTTACTATTATTTTAAGTATAGAGTTCTTGTTCTCTTATCCTGTCCTGTGTGATCCTCATTCTTACTGTTCTCTAACTGGTGATGCAAAACTGAAACTTCCCCTGTGGGACGGGTAAAGGATCTCTTCACCTTATTTTAATAAATACAAGAAAGAGAGGAGAAGAGAACAAATGGTAGATGGTACATACAGAGGTTAACGTAATGTTATGGATCGTAGCAGCAGTAGTATTCCCAGTAGTAGTAACAGTAGTTAGTTGCAGCAGTAGTAGCAGCAGCAGTAACTGTAGTTCCAATAGCAGCAGCAGCAGTAGTAGTAGTAGTGGTAGTAGTAGTCGCAGTATTAGTACAAAAACACATTTTAATTTAGGGCACACATCTACCAGTTTCCATGTTGAAACCAGGCCTCGCCCTTCAGTGATCTCGAAGTATAAACACAGACATGGCTTCTAATGTGTGAACAAATTTAGCCTCTGCCACAATAGTAAACAGTTAATCTGTTTGAAATTACTGTAGATTACAGTAGCTCAGATGGGCGACAGTAGCTCAGTTGGTAGAGCATTAGCCTTTGAGCCAGAGGGTCGTGGGTTCGAGCCTGACTTTCACCATTGACTCCCACCGTCTGCTGTTGTGTCCTTGGCAAGACACTTAACCTCTGGGAACACCAGCGACAGTGGGGCGGCTGCGGCTGTAAAGTGCCAAACTGCCGTTGTGTCCTTAGGCAAGACACTTTACCCCCATTGCCCAGAATGAGTCTGGTGTGTGTGTCAATGGTTGGTGGTTGGTGGTGGTCGAAGGGGCCGATGGTACATACTAGCTGATTGCCTCGCTTCTGTCAGTGTGCCCCAGGGCAGCTGTGGCTACAGTAGTAGTTTATCACCAACGTGTATGGAGTGAAAGAATAATGTCATGTAAAGCGTCTTTGAGTGTCCAAAAAAGCGCTATATAAAACCGATGCATTTTAATGATTAGTTTGAGTCCAATAGCACAAGTATAGGATAACACATTAATATACACGCATGTATGTGAGACAGTACAAAGCTGCTATTGCGAGTATACACAAGTTATATTACATTAAAGTGCACATTTCTGATTATTAGAAATGTGTAGAAATGAGTGTTTTTGTCTCCGTTATGACGATTGTACAATTGTAAAGTGAAGTCAGGGGGAAAAACACAAGTTTGAAAAGCGGACATAAAGCAGACGCAGTCATCGTCAGTATGTGTAATTACAGCGGGCACAGTGAGAGCTGGGTGGTCCGCTGAGAGGAGGGGGGAGGAGGAGGAGGATAGGGGAGGAGGGGTTTCACGATTAACTATGACAGGAATTTATCAAAGTTTGCCAAGAAACTGCTCCTCAACGTGTGTGTGTGTTGAACTGAGTAGGGCCTACTGTGGCTGTGGCCTCTGTACAATTGTAATATTTGAAATCTAGTGTTAATGATTTAATATTTTGGACGTTTGAAGACAAAAATGCCATTGGTCCTGGAGGTGATAGTGGAGATAGTCAGAGCAATGGTGCCATGAATTAAATGCATTCTGATGAGGATTGTGCTGATCATTATGAATATAAGAGAGATAAAAACTAATGGTGCAGTAGTAGCATTAGTAGTAATAGTAGCAGTAGTGGTAGCATATCTTAAAACAGGTGTGTTTTGAGGTTTTCATATATTTAATCGTTATAATGAGACGATCTGAAATTTGCCATATGTCCAGGCAGCTAGCCAATTGTGTAAGGTTTTGTAAAATTTTGGATCTTTATGTACATCCATCCATCCATCTTCTTCCCCTTAATCCATTTCTAGGCCGTGGGGGTGGGGGGCACCCAATTCCCATAGCACCAGCCGCTCACTGATTTTCCAGCAGGGACTTCAGGCAAAGTGGGGTTAAGTGTCTTGCCTAAGGACACAACGACAGCAGACATCAGTGGGAGTAGGCGGAGAATGTCTCGTGGTGGGCTCAAACTCATGACCTTCAGGTTATGTCTGTATGAACCTATTAAGTGATATTATCCTACCTGCTGCTGCATGAATGGACTGTATCTGAATATGGTATACAGACATTGTGTATACGTTTTGTGAATGTATTAGTAGTAGTAGTAGCAGAAGCAGTAGAAGCAGTTGCAGAAGCAGCAGTAGTAACAGAGGCAGTAGAAGCAGTAGCATCAGTAGCAGCAGTACTTGCAGTAGCATTAGCAGCAGTAGCAGCAGTAGTAGAATGC